TTCTTTCAGCAAGCATACTTTTAATGATATCTATGGTTCTAATAGCAGCGATAAGTGAACTTTGTAATAGATAAATGGAAACAATTAGCGATTGAATTCGTTGTCATTGATCAAAATTGGTAATAATATTTACAAGTTGAGAAGATACATAATGTCTCTACTAATCTATGTCAGCTTCCTAAAGTGAGAGATTTATTGTCCATTCAAGCGAGAAGTTATATGTTGAAAGACATCTTCGCTGCAAGGAATAGTGAGGCCACCCATGGGATAATCATATCCAAACTCTTCCTCAGCTTGGCTCAATAAGTCTTGGAATGAAGGTTGATTCAAGTATGACATGGAGTAATTAATTGAGAAAAAAAATTGCACAGTAATGGAAATTACTATATCAATGTTGAAGGAGAAAGAATTATCAAATACCTTCTGGGATGAAGCAGTTTTTATTGTTGTTTACATACTTAAGAGATGTCCAACTAAGACTGTCCAAGATAAAACCTCGATTGAAGCTTAGAGCAGACAAAAACCATAAGCAAAACACTTAAGAATTTTTTACTCTATTTGTTATATACATTCCAGAAGAGAAGAGATACAAACTAGAAGATAAAATCATACAAAGTATCTTTTTGGGTATAGCACATAGTAAAAAAGATATGAGTCTACAACTTGCAAACCAAAAAGCTCACTATTAATTGAGATGTTGAAGTTGATTAAAATGTAGCTTGGAATTGGAAAGATGAAAAGGTTAAGAAAAATGTTTCCATACCAATGCAGCAACCTCAAGAAATTGAAGAAGTCTCAAGTGAAAGTCACAACAACAAATTTTCTCACCAGAGTTTACTACAAGATGAATAAGTTCATCCTCACTCAACTCCAAGATATTTAGCTAGACATAATGAAAGTAAATAATCTGAAATTGAAATATATTGTAGAAAAAGAAATCATGTTAACAGAAAGAGCTTACAGCAGATAAGTGAAATAAGGGAAGCTACTGTTCCATTACAAAAAACTAGAGAAGAAGGGAATGTAACCTAAGTTCCCATAAGAATCCTATATCCAGAAAGAAGAAAATGCCCTAGCTGACATTCACACAGAGAACTGTACAAAAACCTAAATTTTTGTGCCCTGAAAACATAATAAAAATGAAAGATAAAATATTCTTTCTTTAACAGAAAATTTTGCTTTTATATGCTCTGATAAAATCGTGTCCACAATTGTGTCCTATAGCACTTAACTTCTGCTCTTTAAGTCCAATTGCTAATTTCCTTCTAATCCCTTCAAAATTCAAATGTCAGCCATCAAAATATGAATGATCCATCAATTTTTCAGCAATTACAACATTCCATTAAATTTTTCAATTAATTGCATTAACTTATAATTTAAATTCAATGGAATATGCCAAAAACCTTTAATTTTCTAAATGAGTTACTGACTCATCAATTATTGAAAACAAAATTAATTTGTGTACAAGAACGACTTTTCGTTGTATAAATATTTTTTGGAGGAACTATGTTAGAATCTTGCAACCATTAGCAAAAACCACGGCCTAAGTGCACTTAGTTATACACTAGGAGGAGAGCGCTACCTATTAGATGGAGTTGCCAATGCACGGGAAGAGGTACCAATGAAGTGGAGCTGCCTCCCATCAAGGTTAATTGTGACATAATGTATGTTAAGAGAGGACTCACTACGCCAAAATGAAGATATGAGAGCGGTTTCATTTTGAATTCGAGAGCGTTTAGAACTGCTCTAAAATCTTGCGCTATCTGATGTATTATATTTAACAAAGCGGTTAAACAAGCGCTATATAATATTAAGATTAGAGAGCGGTTCTGCGTGGAACTACTCTCCAAAATATAAATGTAGACCGCGAATCCAAAATTTGAAATTGATTTCTTTTTGAGTTTTCTATTGCAAAATAAAAATTTATTATTACGTTTAAATCAAAATTTGGAATTGATTTCTTTGTGAGTTTTCTTCATTTTTATCACAAATTAAAATTGAATCTTGAGTTTATATATATGGTGTTAACCAAACAGTCCACATCTGCATGAACCAAACACAAGTAAGCAGAGAAAAAAGAAAGAATAAATTAATAGGATAATTTTTAACATTAATAGAGAGAAAAAGAAAGAAAGAGAGAATTGATGATTCACCGTTAACAAAGAGAAGAAGAAAGAAGTACCTACAAATGTGAAAAAATTAGGGTAAAGAAGATGAAGAGAGCAGACTAACACAGAATGAAAAGATACTTACAGATGAAAAAAAAAAACTAATATGTTAGCGAGAGAAGACGAAGAGAGCAGGTTAACAAAGAAGATGAAGAAAACATAAGAGAGTAAAGAAGAAACTTACAATGAAAGAGACTAGCTTTGTTAGCTAAGAAGAAAAAATGCGTTGAGCGTGTTCATTTATAAATGACTTTAATAATATTAGAGAGCGGTTCTTTATTAACCACTCTCCAAGAATGAGATTAGAGAGCGGTTCTTTATTAATTACTCTCTAATGTGACTTTAGAGAGCGGTTAATAGAGAACCGCTCTCAGAAATATAGATCTGAGAGTGGTTAATAGAGAATCGTTATCTAAATATATAATTTACAAAGCAATTTTTATTAATCGCTGTCTAAATTAGCGCTCCAAAAGCTCATTTCTAGCATAGTGACTACTTATAAGATATAACTACCCCTAGGGGAGAGGACGTCCATGGGAGGAAGGGACTATCAACTGAGTGAAATTGCTTTGCACTATGGTTCTCTTACGAGTAATCCTCATAGTATTATATTGACATTTACTTTTATAATATTTTAAGAAACTCTTATTATTAAACACATGTTTATGTGTACTTTATTATAATAGTTGTGATTGAAATAATATTTTCACTTAATAGTGTAAACTTTTGATCATGACTAAAATTTTGTAAGAGTAGTTACAATTAATTTCTTTTAAAATGATGTTTTAAGTAAATTTATGATGGCAAATTATTCATGAAATATTTATTTCATTTTCATATTTATTGTGGTTATTATACCTTCGTTTTTTCTGTATGACTCACCCCTTTTATTTATTTAATACTTACAAATCATCAAATAGTAAAGTTGCAGGTTAATAGGAATATCAATTCAGCCCAATAGTATCTCTATTAGTAGACCTCTATTGTTTCGGTTGCCTTAATACTTTTCTTGTTATCGTTGTTATATTTTAGACGTTCTTATTATATTTTTGGGATAATGAAATACAAAAAAAAATTGCCAAAATTTGGACAAATTTATCATATTACTTAATTAAAAAAATTTAGTTTCAAATATCTTATTTTTACATAGACTTGCCAGGTTAAGTGGTGTTTTTAAGTAATTTAGCCTGGGCACCAGTCTTGAACCCATTTCGAGTCAGGGCAGCAGCTGGGCAACGCCCAATGAATAAGACAAGAAGCTAAATGAACACTCCATAAAATGGGCAAACACATGCTCAGACTGTAGAGCATGAGACGAACATGTTCCTTTAATCTGCACCTCGTTTTGGTACAAAATGAAAATTATTTGATCAACAGGTATAATACTTTGTGAACTCCTTCTAAACCAGCTTGACTTGTCTTTGTACTATTTAAACCCCTCCCCTAGAAGTGAAGGTATATAACTAACAAATTAATTTGTTTCTGGACACCATTTTCTTTTGTCTCCTATTACTCAATTCTAGTAAGAATACGAAGAAAGATTGGGACATACTGTTTGACATCTTTTTGGTCAAAACCAGTCTTATATACTGTTTGACAAGAAAGCTTTGCTTTAACTAGACCTTATTTAATTATCTTATGAAGACCATATAATTTCAATCTTATAATAGAGAGATCCATTGTTTGGTGTTTGATTTATTATAGACATTAAGGAAGGGAATAAAAAATGGTGCAATGGATATATGGTTTAAGATTTTTGTCTGATTTCCTCCAAAAAAAGAAAGGTAATATATTCAAGTGGTTCAAGTTATGAAGATTATTAATTAGTGAACCCATCACTAGTATATTGTTTGTAGTTTCCCTAAAACCAACCAACATGCTCATGTGAATATGCCACAACTACTTGACTCACAGAATGGAGAATCGTTAATCAAAAGGAAATGGGGCATCCATCTTATTAGCGAATTAGTTCCATAGTGCTGGCAAGAACCCAATCAATGACAATAAGTGGGAGTGGCTGTGGCTAAATTTGCGAATGTGAAACTTTATATTTTATGTATAATATATGGAAGAAATTCGAAATCATGTCAGGTCATGTTTCAGTGACCACCATACACTAAGTAGGGATGGTCCACAATGATCTCTCAGCCAGAAAAAATCAAAGCGGGCCATGGTAAATTATGTATATAGTACAATTTACAGAGAAGACAATAATAATAATGCTATCTCCGTAGATAAAATGTAATGATTCAATTGAAAACAAAATAAAATTCGCTATTTTGTTACTGAATTTATTTATAAAATGTAGAGCTAATAGTTTTATCTCAATCAGATCGATACATTAGGAATATTTGATTTAAATTAACACAGTTTAGCTAATTTCTTATTTAATAATTACGTTCTTCATTTCATCATAATCTTTTGTTTTTCCAAATATGCAGTTTTGCGAACATCTCTTTTTCTGCGATATGGTGAGAAAATCAATTTTATAAATTAAAAAAATGCTTTTTTTTTAATCTATTTTCAGGATCAAGAAAAGTATTTCCGTTTTATCATCTAAAAGTTATATTCTCAACATGGATCATATTAGTGCATGCCTTCAATTTTTTTATTTCGGTATTAATACGTGCCTCCAATTTTCAGATTGATACATAGGGAAAATGTGAGAAAGAGGCTCATGTTCCAAAACTTCTCATTCGGATGAACTTTTTTACACTTTTCCAAGTAAGATAACAAAAAAAAGGGAGAAAATATCTTCATCAAGGTAAGAAATTGTGTTACAAAAATTGTGTTGAGTTATCTATCTCTATGTCGGTCTCATATATTCATGAGTTAACACTTGTTCAAACGAGAAGTGATATCTAAGAACATATCTTCTCCACAAGGAATTGTAAGACCACCCATTGGATGGTCATACCCAAATTCTTCTTCAGCTTGACTCAACAAATCTTGAAATGAAGGTTGGCACAAGTATGTCAAGGGTATCACAAACCGCCTCATTTTCTCTCCAACGTAGACGGCTAGATAGCCCTTTGGCACGTCCACAACTTTTGAAGCTGATTGGTTTGTAGCAAATGATGCCTTTCTGATAACAGGTAAATGAAAACCCATTGCTTAGTGTGCGAGACTAGAAAAGAGATTGTTGTCAAAATAAAACTTGTAAATAAGATGGAAGTTTTGAGCTTGGAATGCTTTAGGATGTGAATGATTTGTGTTGGTCCTAAATGCTTGAAGCCTTGAATATATATAGATATAAGGGTTTGTAAGAAACCATTTGGCTACATGATTGATTGAAAGGAGGAGGGCTATGAAGTACGAGTCATGGGACCAACAGGGAGACAAGGGCATATGGAGTTGTCTTGGGTGACTTTATAAATGATCAATGTAACATGTTATTATAGATTATGAGTCCCACCTTCTATAGGGAATCCACTTGAATTAAAATGGACAAATGATCTCAAATCTCAGGAATATAATGGTCTCTGATCTATAGCTATCAGTTGCCTTGTGATTCATCACATCAGCCAGTAATAGTTACCAGTTGTACTTCATGTTAGGACCAGAGTAACGGTATAATAATACACAACTAAAATAAGAGATGAGAAAATAAAAGCCAATAAATGCAATATAAAATTATCACAGAAGAAAAATTACACTAATCCTCACTCTATAATTTACTCCTCAAAATAGGAGACTATTACTACCGAGTACAAGATCTCAGTGTAATACAAAGATATGAGGAAAAGATGATTTTTGGGATGGATTGATTAGTAAGACCCCTTGCCCTTTTATAAGCAAAGGAGGGGTCATGCCTTTGAAGTTCCCACCGATGTGGGACTTCTTACTTAACAATTCTCCCACTTGAAGATTATGATTAAGCTAATCATATCTTCACACACATTACTAATATATATATTACAATTACATGTTGCTTATATTCCTAATAGGCCATACAAGGATCGACACCATGTAAACTTGTCATTGTTCACTGGCTTTGTCATTATGTCTGCTATGTTGTCTTTGGTGTGAATCTTTTGCATATCCACTCTACCTTCCTCTACTACTTCACGAACAAAGTGGTATTGTATACCTATGTGCTTTGTTCTGGAATGAAAAGCTGGATTCTTTGCAATATGCAAAGCACTTTGACTATCACAATACACAGTAGTAGTTTGCTGTTTGTGCCCAAGTTCCTCCAATAGCCTTTGAATCCAGATTGCTTCCTTGCATGCCTCAGTAGCTGCCATGTATTCGGCTTCTGTAGTAGACAGAGCCACAACAGTCTGTAACTTAGATAACCAGCTTACTGTTCCTCCAGCAAGTGTAAACACATAACCAGTAGTAGATTTCCTTTTATCCAGATCTCCTGCAAAATCTGAATCAACATAGCCCTTCACAATAAATTCTGATCCTTCAAAACATAATGCAACATCAGAGGTTCCTTTGATGTATCTAAGGATCCTCTTTACAATATTCCAATGCTCTCTACCAGGATCTGTCATGTACCTACTGACTGCTCCCACTGCTTGTGCAATGTCTGGTCTAGTACAAATCATGGCATACATAAGGCTTCCCACCGCTGATGCATACGGCACTTGAGACATTTCCATCCTCTCCGCTTCATTGCTAGGACACATACTTGAGGATAATTTATAACTGACAGGAAGTGGGGTAGAGATTGGCTTACAGTCTTGCATATTGAAGCGCCGCAAGACTTTACGAAGATAATTCTTTTAAGAGAGCCAAATCTTCCTATCTTTTCTGTCTCGGTGTATTTGCATCCCTAAAATCTTGTTTGCTGGTCCTAAATCCTTCATATCAAACTCCCTAGCTAATTGTGCCTTCAATTCTTGAATTCGATCTTTGTTGGGGCCTACCACCAGCATGTCATCCACATACAACAACAAAATGATGAAATCATTATCACCAAACCTCTTGTAATACGTACAATGGTCTGAACTCAGTCTGTTGTATCTGAGGCTAATAATGAAGGAATCAAATCTCTTGTACCAACACCTTGGCGCCTGTTTTAAACCGTACAGAGATTTGGTCAACCTGCAAACCAAGTCTTCCTTTCCTTGTTCTTCAAAACCTTCTGGTTGGAGCATATATATTTCCTCTTCATGTTCTCCATGTAGAAAAGCAGTCTTTACATCAAGTTGCTCAAGATGTAAATCATGTGCAGCACACATTGCCAGAACAATTCTGATTGTGGTTAATCGAACAACTGGCGAGAATATCTCATTGAAATCAATGCCTTCTTTCTGAGCATATCCTTTAACCACCAATCTGGCACGATACCGCTCCACTTGATCATTACCATCTCGTTTGATTTTATAGACCCATTTACAACCAATGGCTTTTCGATCTTTTGGAAGTTCAACAAGTTTCCATGTCTTGTTTTTATGTAAGGCCTCAATTTCTTCCTGCATTGCTGTCATCCATAATGAAGCATCTGAACTCCTCAAAGCCTCATGAAAGGTTGATGGTTCTCCTTCATCTGTTAGAAGACAATATGCATCGTGGCTTACCATCACATAGTCTGAGTGCTAAGATGGTCTCCTTATCTCACATCTTGTTTGTTGAGTTTCTCCATCATTGGCATCATTTGATTCTTGTTCTCCGTGCTCTTGTTCTGCTTTAGAATTGTCATCTTCTTTAGCTTTCCTTTCTATCACTACTGAAGTAGTGTCTTTGGTAGTACTGTCATCTTTCTGCTCCTTTTGCAGTTCATTTTCTGCAAAGACTACATCTCTGCTAACAACAACCTTGCGGGCAGTGGGATCCCACAAGCGATACCCCTTAACATTGTCAGCATAACCCAAGAATATACATTTCCTGGATTTTGGATCCAGTTTTGTTCTTTCTTGGGAATTGTACATCACGTACACAGGACATCCAAACACATGTAATGAAGAATAATTAGGTGGCTTTCCATTCCATATCTCCATTGGTGTCTTCAAACCAATTGTTGTTGATGGTGATCGGTTTATTACATAACAGGCAGTTTTCACTGCTTCTGCCCAGAAAGATTTAGTCACTCCTGCTGTTCTTAGCATAGCTCTTGTTCTTTCTAGAAAAGTTCTGTTCATCCGCTCTGCTACACCATTCTGCTGAGGTGTATAAGGCACTGTGAATTGCCTTGAAATACCCTCTTGCTTACAGAATACTAGAAAATCACCATCTACATATTCTCCTCCATTGTCTGTCCTTAAGCACTTAATTCTTTTCCCAGTTTCAAGTTCTACTTGTGCTTTGAACTCCTTGAATACTGGAAACACATCTGACTTCTTCTTGATTGGGTACACCCACAATCTCCTGGAGTAATCATCAATAAATGATACAAAATATTTTGCTCCTCCAATGGATACTTCCGGTGATTCCCATACATCAGAATGAATCAAGTCCAGTATGTGTTTGCTTCTTGTAGTCACTTTGGCAAACTTTAATCTATGCTGCTTACTTGTCACACAGTGTTCACAAAATGGTAAGGTTACCGTTTTGAGCCCTGTTAAGAGATTACGTTCTGCAAGAATTTTCAGACCTCGTTCTGACATATGACCGAGTCTACGATGCCACATCAGTGTTTCATCTTCTTGACTTATTGCAACTGATGCATCTACTTCTTGCAACGTATCTCCCAAAAGTATGTATAAATTGGTTGTGATCTTTTCTGCTTTCATCACTACCAAATTGCCTTTAACTACCTTCATGATCCCACCTTCAATGTGGATCTTGCACTTGAAGTCATCCAATTGCCCAATGGACAATAGATTCTTTTTCAAACCCTTCACATGTCGTACCCCTTGAATTGTTCGAATGGTACCATCATACATTTTCAATTTGACAGTACCAATTCCAGCAATTTCTAGGGCATGATCATTTCCCATGAATACAGATCCTCCTGAGATAGGTTCATAAGTAGAAAACCAATCTCGGCATGGAGTCATGTGCCAAGTTGCACCTGAATCCAATATCCAACATTCATGGAGTTGTCTTCCGCCTCTAGAATTTACTACTTCACTGTATAGAATTTCACCATCATCTGAGGTACTAGCAACACAACCTTGTGAGGTTGATGCTTCCATATTCTTCCTTCCTTCACTCTTCCTGCTCCAACAATCTTTCTTTACGTGCCCTCTCTTGCCACAGTTGTAGCATTTGAGGTTCTTCCTTCTCTGAGATTTTGATCTACCATGATTTTGGCTCCCACTGGAACCACGCTCCATTGATCTCCCTCTCATCATCGTCAAAGCTTCTGCTTGTTTACAACTTTCCAGTCTGTCTTCCTTATTCTTTCGCCTGGATTCTTCTTCAAGAACTGCTCCGGCAACATCATCAAAGGATAGATGACCAATGTTGTTGTTGTTTGTAATATTGATGATGAGTTGATCATATGAATCTGGCAAGCTCTGGTGTAGAAGTTCTGCACGTTCATTTTCTACAATGTTGAAATCTGAAGCTGTAAGTTGAGCAAACAGCGTATTCAGATTGTTGATGTGGTCCGTCACAGGTGTGGACTCACTCATTCGAAGAGTGTAGAGTTTCCTTTTTAAGAATATTTTGGTGTGAAGTGACTTGATCTCGTACAATTTGATCAGTGTGTCCCAAATCTCCTTTGCAGTCTTCTTTTCTGTAACACTAGATAACACTGAATCTGCCAATGCCAAGTGCAAATTGGCAACAGCATTGTTATCCATTTCTCTCCATTTTTCTTCTGAAATATCTGCAGGTCTGCCTTCAATTGCATCAAGACAATTGTCTTTCCTTAAAATTGCTCTTATCTTCAATTTCCACAGGGAGAAATTACTCCCATTAAATTTCTCTATCTCATATTTTGCTGCCATATTTTCTCTCTTTATTATACCGACTTATGCACTTCTCACTATGAATAGTATTGTCTACTGGAATAACACAGGTAGACCATGAACTAACACACCAAAAAAATTCCCAGGAAAGAGAGGTGGGTCACTATAGACACTCTTAAATACCAAATCTTTCCTAGCCAGAACTTTCTCAGATAGCAGTTTCACACTACCAAACTTTTCCAGTAACAACTCCTTTTTGATGTGAAAGATCGGATTAACCCGCAATCACAGAGCATACTCAAAATTTTACCAACACTATTCTAATGACAATAGCAGCGGAATAAACTAAACCAATAGCTCTGATACCACTGTTAGGACCAGAGT